AGCTTCGCAACTTTTTAGTGTTTGACAGTCTCTCGTTGCAGATTTAGCTTGCAAGTAAACCAACAGCAGCGCTTATGAATGCGAATAACGCAACGTTGCTAGGTGACCTGCAGTCGGAGAACACCAGCTCTCAGTTGTTGCGAAACAGGGCTTTCGCGCTATGTTGCACACGACCCGAAGATATTTTACTGACACAGTGATCCCCCCACTCTCTACAACGAGACCAAAACCGAAGTTATAAAATCACTAAAGAAAACGGGTAGAATAGCTGTAACATGTGCTGCGTGGACATCCATTACCACTGGATCTTATTTCACCGTAACTGAGCATTTTATCGCAGATGAGTGGCAGCAGCGTCTCATGTGCTCCAAGCAATAGCAGTGAATGAGAGCCTTCTAGTTCAATTGCCACATCACTTCCATTTGATTTATTAATAAAAGATATTGGAAGTAAATGCATTATAGATCATTACAAATACTTAGCTTTAAAAGTACCAAGTCCTGACACAGTAAGAAAATAGAAATCCTGTATAGAAAAAAAAGATGCATCAAGATGCATCGATAATCGTTTTATAATCGCATCGCAGCCCTCTGAATCATAATCGAATCAAATCGTGAGATACCTAGAGATTCCCACCCCTAGTGGAGTGTAGATAAGGGAACTGATTCAACTGCCGTAAAGCTTGATAATTTGTTGATTCCAGTGCGCTGGAGCAGAGGACACAGTAAACTGCAGTGATGTGGCCTCCAGGACTGGAAGTGCACTGAAGGACATGGCTGCCACTCTGTGAGTATCAATGTCTTGGAGTTGTCTCTTGCAGCTCCAGAAACACAGTCTAATCTGCCTAGGGGCTGTTTGTTTGCCTGGTGTGTGTGTTTGTGTGTGTGTGTGTGTGTGTGTGTGTGCATGTGTGTGTGTATATGTGTGTATACTGCTACATGCTCCGGCTCTTGGCCAGACAGATTAAATCAACTTCAACTCAGAGCTCTGAACTCAGATGCCCCCGCCTCCTCCGTGCTGAGGCTGGAGGGGCCAGCAGTAACTCATGACCTCAGCGACCAAACAGTGCGACCTCCACTATCAGTAATCACAGCAATTTGCTCCGTATGTCCTCAAATCTAGTGCCAGACCAAAGACATATTTCAAACGCTCTCAAAATCCCCCAATAACCTTTACCAATATCAGCAAACAGACTAGGCACACAGGGCCAGATGTGCTAAGCCTCTTGCATCGGCTTTCAGCTGCAAACAGGACATTTTCTGCCTGTAAAAGTTTATCTGTTATCTAAAAATGGGTGTAAAAGTCTGAATGCAGTTGAGTGCCACGTACAGTGCAGTGCAGAAGTCTTAGGTAGCCATGAAAACTTAAAATAGGCATGACTTTGCAGGTCAGAACATTATGCAACACTAGTAACATCAGGGTAACACTTGAACTCTGCTACATAACACTGACATAACCACGGCATAAGCATGTCACGGCAGATGTCACTTGCGGTCATGACGTAACAATCAAGGAGACAAGGAGGCAGGATGTGAGCGTGAGTTTTACTGAAATCCATGATTAAAAGGAATCCACATGAACAATAAAACAAAAGAACTAGCCTAAGAAAGAAGACTAGGAATCAAGATGCTTAAACTGAAAAAAAAAGACTAGGGAGAGTGAAGAAAACTAATAACCAGGAGGTAAACACAGAACAGGGTCTGTAAAACAGAAACAGCACGCAACTACAAGACAACAACCAGGGGTATAAATACAGGGAGAAACAGAACCCAAAACACCACAATTACAGGGTGAGGTAACAGACAAGACACAGGTGATGAGCAGGATGAAAGGGCGGAGCATGGGAGGAGCACAAAACCAAAATAAAAAACAAGAGCACATGGCTGAAGAACAGAACTGGGGAAGTGTCAGGTTACCAAACTTTCATGCAACTAGTTGCCTGTTGCAAGTTGCCTGTAACATAATTTCCTGCAACTTGACAATTACACAAAGCAATTCTTAATCATCTTGGTATATTTGTTCCAACTTTCAATGCCATTCTCATCTATCTATCTATCTATCTATCTATCTATCTATCTATCTATCTAGGGTTCTTTATTATGTGTTTGAGTTTCTGTGAGTATTTGTGTATCTTAAGCCTTCAAAAATGAATGTGGCCATTACAGTTATAGCCTACTTAATGTCTCGCTTAACCCGTCCTAAAAGCACAAACTCAGCGCAGATTGCATTTTTGTCTCCTCTTCTGTAATAATAATTTTCATCTTTTCTTCCCAAATGAATGCCCACCTTGTGTAAAATTAGGGGATGCCAAGAGCGAAGCTAAGTAGTTCACATTAACAGCAGGCTAAGAAGAATAAACGGTGACACAAGCAGCCATTTAAACTGCTGTTAGCGTCAACAGCTCCAGAAACTATTGTTTTGAGAAACTCATGTGTGTTGTCATTACTCAGAAAACTGACAAAATGAAAAACTACCAATCTTGAGTCAGTCAGTGGGAGGAGGACCTCAACTGTCCAATAAACCAACTTCTGCTTTACTTTCTTGTCCATTGATCCAGTGAAATTAATGGTTTTAAAGTATGTCATTAGATGCTGTTTTGACAGTTTCATGAAATTGTTGAGATACTTGCAATTGTTGCAGCTGAGTTTCAAATTTTTTTCAGCATGCTTTACATTATACAACTCAATTGCAACTTAGTTTCATGTAGATTTCAAGCAGCTGAAGTTGCATGTAAGTTTAACTGTGTAAAGTCAATCTTATTGTTAATTGTCACATGTCATAATTCATAATTTCATAATAGCTAAGTAGTGAAAAAATTAGCATGTGACAAAAGCTGCCGAGACATGGTAATGGTAACCTTTGGTAATGGTAACATGGCACTATTAAATTATTAAATAAAATCTGTTATGGCAATTCATGATATAGTATGACACATATGGCATGTTTTTGACATAGATAATGCCTAGTGGGGTTAAAGTAAAGTTTTACTGACATTAGACTAAATACAGTAAACATAAGAGCTACTAATATCTTGGTTAGAAAAAAACAGTTAGATGAACCCAGGTTTTCTTAACTTCTCAGTGCACTCTAGCCATTGCACATATTTGTTAAATTCCATTTTTTAAAACAACTAATTTAGTTTAATGAAGCAGTGATTAGCCAAAATAAGATATGGTATAGTAACTGTAAATACTGGGATTCCTCGAGGAATGCTTCAGAAATAGTTTTGCAGACACAAATCATAATATTTATTTATTTATTTATTCGTATTTATGCTAATATAAGTGCTTTTTGAAGAAATAAATGCTTACCTCACTGATAAACAGCTTGTATCGTCTATGTATCATCTTTTCAGATGGCCTAAGATTTTGCAGAGCAATGTATGTGTAAAAATGGGCGGAGATTTTGGAAATGCAGTTGATCACATATTTGTTTTGATTACTAACGTTTATGCAACTAGCGTGGAATTGTAGGATTTATTCCGCCTGAGGTGTAAATCAAAGGTGTGGCCAGTAGCCTAGTTATAAGATAGGTGGACCATCAGCCAGAAGGTTGTGGGTTCAAATTCCAGACACACTGCTATGATACTCACAGACTGTGCATAGTTAGACAGGAAAAAAAACACATTTATCTTCATTTATTTTTCAATGAAGCGTAACATAACATAGCAGCTAGATGGAGGCATGGTGCTTACAGACCATGCTGAAAAAAATATATATACCAAAAGAGTGACAGTGTTTTAACCTTCAGAATTCATCTAATTGCTCCAGAGCTCACCTAGTGACTCCTAAACCTCTATCTCTTCATCACTGAACTTTCATTGTCTCTTTTGTCACAAAGTTCCAAAGCCACAGCCTTTAAATTCTGCGCCTCACACGTTCAGCGCAATTAGTACATAGTCGCAGGCACAGTTTGTGTGATTATTTATAGCCTTCGTAAATCTAATGTTAATTTCAGGTGCACTGCGAGCATATTGCAACACCACCAGCCCACTCACATATGTACATCTGACTCTCACTCCATATCAGCAGTCAAAGTCCAGTCTCTGGATGTTCTCCATGCAAGAGTATTAAGGCAGAGGGGAAAAAGGTCTATCAGCAGAACGTCCTGGATCTGGCCACAGGGTGACCCAAGCAGGCACAGCCATGCAACATGTGACTGCCCTGCAGCAGCTGGGCTTTTGGCCAGACATCTGGCATTCAGATATGACAAAAAAAGAGAGACACTGAGGGAGAGAAGGCGGGGGGGGGGGCACCTGCTGCTGCTGGGAGCTACAGCATGTGTTCTACTGCAACCTAAAGGAGAAGGGCATACATACACACACAGCCTAGGTACTCCTCTCTACAGTGGTCCAGTAAAAAATCTAAGTAGCCCCAGTTGGTAGGCAAGATGTCCTTGGAAATGTGTTTTATGCACTAAATAATTATAAATAAAAAATCTAAAAGTTAAAATCTGTGTAAATGCTTCATCTGTAAGCTTGTTTTAATAAATCACTTTGTGTCTAATACATAGCTTATGTACTTTGCTGCGCTGAAGCCAGTGCTTTTTGAGAGACATATTTGCCAACAGAGCAAATGATCAAAAATAAATGATTAGACTGTCGTGGCTGAAAGCAATAGATGCCAAGTATACAGGTTTTTTTCAGTGTGGGTGTGTTGACTGAATAATAAACTAATGTATGATAGGCAAGGTAAGTTTATTTATATAGCACATTTTGTATACACTTGTAATTTAACTGAACTGAACTGAGTTGAAGTGAAGTAAAATAAAGTGAAATGAATAAAATTAACCTGAATTAAACTGTACTGATTTGGACTGAGTTGAAATGAAGTAAAGTGAAGTGAAGTGAGTTGAATCACATTGAAGTAAACTGAATTACACTGAACTGAATCAAATGTAACTGAACTGAGTGAAACTGAATTGAACTGAACCAAATTTAACTGAACTGAACTGAATTGAGTCCAGTGTGCAATGTAAGTGCAGGATTGTGGGTTGCGCACCTGTGACATGGAGTCTGTCTCCGCTGACCTCGATCTTGAGGAAGAGGCGTCCTCTGCGCTCGGTGTGGTCCGTCCCGCACAAGCTTGGCACATTCATCACGCATTGCTTATGTACATTCATATCACAGGCTGAGAGAGAGAGAGTGAGAGAGACAGTAAGAGAGGGAGAGAGAGGGAGAGAGAGTTGGATATCTGAAATGTTACAGACCAAGTGAGCATCCTTACGGTAGGTGGGTAAGAGATCAGCTCCTGTTAATGAATCTTGGTGTTAATGCAACTGCAGGACCAAGTGTGAAAGTACAGTCCACACACACACACACACATACACACACACACACACACACACACACAGGTGGTCTGTTTTTAGAGAGGTGTTATAATGTTATTTGTGCTCACTGCCTGACTGGTAATTGGACAGAGCCACAGGCCTCATAGCAGAGAGGGTGAGGAGTGTGTGTGCATGTGGTTGTGTTTATGCATGATGTGTTTGTATCCCCCCACAATGAAAACAAAAGGTGGCTCCGCTGCGATGGCTGCTCTGCCCCACCTGGTCTGACGGGCAGATTGTGAGGGCTGTAATTACAAATTCGGTGCTATCCCCCCACACCAATTTATTTCAATCTGCTTTCATTAAAATCTATGATAACATTGCCAACCGAGCCACAGAGCAAGAGATGGATGGCTGACGGTAGACAATAAAGACAAAAGGCCCGAAGGGGCAGCAGAGGAGGATGGAGTGTGCAGATAGGAAAGGATTCCGCTTCAATTAAACGGGCGTCTATGCACAGAGCAGGTCTAATCCCATTCGACCTCATTATGCGAATGTGAGAGGGAATATCCATCACTGACTGAAGCTCCAGCTCCTTCTCTGCTCTGAGACTTAACACAGAACAGACAGACTTGTAGCACTGTGCAGGCTACTGTGACTGTGTGGGTTTGGATAGCAGATGGTGGTTCTGAGTTAACCCTAGGCTCAGATTCAGATGCTCTATCCACAGAGGTACACACACTGATATACCTACAGTTATCTATTGTATGCATTTCAAGTTAAATTCTAGCGATAATCATAAGCAGTTGCAGCTTTCAGGGGGACACAAACAAGACTTTCAGAGCAAGATGTACTAGTGTTGTAGTACTGGAGTCCTGTCTTACTGCCAAAACTGGTCTTGAGTCCATAAATTAACTTGTTTCAAAGTCTGTGTAAACCAAAGTCTGACTCAAAAATTGTTCCTGAGGCCAGCCGAACGCATCTAAGATAACTGTAAACTTTTTTTTCTATCATTATTCAATAGAGTTTAATAGAAAAGTTCTTTCTCTACATATTTAAATAAAATCTGTTTACTGTGTTATTTGTTTGTTATTGTTTATTAGTTCTAAAACTCAAACATCTCCTGAGGGCAAATCAGAATGTTATTATTACTATGTTTTAATTTCATAATAAAAATGGCTGTATGTTGTTTGGTTTATATTCACTTGATTTTAGGTGGTGATTCTAAATAAGTTTGGAGATGAAGGGACAGAAAATAATCTCAGCATCAATCTCAGGTACAGTGCAAAGTTGGACAATAATATAATAATAACTAATAATATCAACATAAAATATAATATTATTTAATATATACATTGAAGCTGTCCAAAGAAAAACAGGTATCTCCGAAAAAGTAACTTTACAGGAGAGGGCAAAAACGTTTTTTACTCTCAATGTAAGTTAATGGAAAGACATTTTATTCTAAGCAATTTTGGAGCATTTCTACTGGTCCAATCATGAAATGTTCACACAATGTAAAAAAATAGAGATACGTTTTTCATTAGACAGCGACGATATACATATATAAATGTGTATATATATATATATATATATATATATATATATATATATATATATATATAAACATATATGCATAAATTGATTTGTTTTATTTCTATATTCTGAAAAAACTCAATCTAGTCTAGGCCTTATCTCAGGGGTCTCTGGGTCTTGACTTGGACTTGACTACTACAAAGTCTTTGTCTTTGCTGAGACTCAGTCTGTCCAGGTTTCAGTCCTGACTCAGACTCACCTCTAATTGTCTTGACTACAACATTAAAATGTAAACCGCCATTCAAAAGTTTGGAATACACACATTATCTAAGCCGCATATCCTACTGGGTTGCAGGGGGTGCTGGAGCCTATCCCAGCAGTCACTGGCCAGAAGGCACCCTAGACAGGTTGCCTGTCCATTACAGGGCAGACATATACAATCACACACACACATTCACACCCAGGGGCAATTTAGCACGCCCAATTGGCCTGACTGCATGTCTTTGGACTGTTGAAGGAAACAGGAGTACCTGGAAGAAATCCATGCAGACACAGGAGAGCATGGGAACTCCACACAGAAAAGACCCTGGTTGCCCAGCCAGGGAACCAAACCCAGGCCCTTCTTGCAGTGAGAATGCAAGTTTGGAATAACTACTTTTAATTCCATACTAGTTTGTTGAAGATACATGCATAAAATGATTTTATAATGATGCTACTCCTCAAATTCAGAGGTTTTAATTAATTTGTAGGAAAATGTAAAAAATGAATACAAAAAATGATGAACAGAGCTGTAGATGATTCTGTAATCACTAACAAAGCTGTATAACTACATTGACAATGAAATTATAATAAAATCAACTTCCAGAATCCCTCATATTTGAAAAGTAGTGTTCAAATCTCAAAGTAGATGGCCTGCTAGACAATTACTGTAAATAGATACATATAGTGTAATATTTATCATTTAACTCTTGCTCCAAAAAACTTAAAATACTGCATAAAACATTCTGCTGTCTAGCGTATAGTATAAATGACACTGTATGAGTTATTATTCATGAAAATAACAGCAATAACTAATGTGACAATGTGCCCCCACACTTCATGCAAAAAGAGTTTTTTGATTGGTTGTTTTGCAGGTCATTCAAAAGGCCTCATCTTCTCAAAGTATGTGGTTTTTGGCCAAGTTGAGCAATGAAACCCACTGGTCTCTTGAGCACAAGACAGAAATCTAACTTGTGATACTGGAGCCAACCTAATGAGTGGTTCTATATTGAAGAAAAAGCAACTCACTGTCACATTTCATCCCTTGGTGGATGAGTCCGTATAGCAGAGAGCCGCAGTGGTCGCAGAAGGTTGGGCTGCCATAGGAGTGGATCTTAAACTTGTGCTTGCTTCTCGGGTCCTGCAAAAAAGCAAAGTATGGAATCGATTTAATCATATGGCATAAATAAATGATCATATAAAAGATTATTTATCTTTTTACTATCTCAATTAATGCATTGGGTTTAAACAGATCATAACATAATCCTTGCAAATACCTAAGGTATTAATACTTCATTGTTTTTTCAAATTACTGTCCAACAGCAGTTTGAACAGTGCTGTAGGATGGTCCATATAGGCCACTCATTGAGAACTTAGAAACAGCAAAGTCCACCTTGCTATTTTACATTTAGAGACTGCATCTGTTGCCATGCACAATTTACGTTAGTGAGCCTCCTGCCCAGGGGTCATCATTTCTGGTTAAAGAGGACATTGGTCCAGCACAGTTTCCTAGCAGGAAAATTACTATGGAAATAACATTTACATTTACATCATTTAGCAGACGCTCTTATCCAGAGCGACTTACAAAAAGTGCTTTAACCAAACAGTGCTGAACGTCAGCCTTTCAGTTTTTAGCCAGTTATCTGTGGTTAGTTTCTAACCTCATACCCACTGTTTGCTGTATGATTTTGTGTGATAAACCACTCTCAACCTAGCAGTGACAACGATGTGTAAAAACCCTAGCAAAACTCCTGAGCCCGATACACTTGCATTAGCATCACACACACACTACCATACCACTATCATGTCATTGTCACTGTTGTATTGAGAATGGTCCACCCCCCAAATAAGACCTGGACAACAGAAGTCCAGAAACTGACACATCATCAGTGGGGTAAAGCGTGGTTGACAAATAGTGCATGAAACCAGATGGGCTACAGTTTGTAACCGTACACCTTACAGTGGGCTTATTAGGTAATAGTGCCTCATTGTCAGTGGAAGCACAAGGAAAGAGGTAGGTATTTCTAGTAAAAATACATGGTGAGTTTATGTTTTTCATGTTCTCAGAGATTCCAAATAGAATCTCCATCAAATCTGAAGCAATGCTAAAAGCAATTACTGCCCTGGACTTCTACTGTAACCAAACAGAGCATTCCTCGTTTACATAATAGAGGGCAACCGTGACACAAGGTCAAACAGTGCATGAGCTTTCGAGAAACATAATCACACATATTTGGGATTATTTAATAGGAGAGGGCAGCTTTAAATAGGGCAACCAATTAATCTGTCTCCAACTCGTCGAAAAATTAATGAGAATATAAATTTGCTGTGGTGGTGGAGTTGAGGGCCCCCGCTGCCCGCACATAACTCTGTTCCTCTGAATCATTAATCTCACAGTTAGGAAGAACGAGAGCGATGGCCAAACTCCCTGTCCTTTGTGCTTTCACCAAGCACACTGAAACTGTCACCTATACTCAGTGTGCTCCCTGTTTGAGGGCACTAAATGAGACAGGGAACCCTGAGTCAGGACAAATGAAGGTTAGAAGTTATCTAGGGTCATTTTTTAACTTTTATTTATTCAGGATTACTAGCAATACATGCGTCTTCGATCATCACTCTTACTCTGGACTGTTTAATGTTGCAATAGTTCAATTTACATTATTTTTCCCTTCCAGACAAGAGTTTGCTTCAATAGTTTTGCCCTGGATTTACAAGGCTACTGCAGCTAACATGAAATGAAAGCTTATACCCTGCCAATTAACATCATTCAGACCGCACACCTACATCGTCACACATTTAAACAAAATGCAGAAAATTGTTCTTGAGGCCAGCCAAGTGCATCTGGGATAACTGGAAACTTCTATCAAAATTCAGGCTATAAGGTGGCTAGTGCTGTTTTTGGCTATGTCCATTTTTATAGCAAACAGTATGTCACAATCTTTACTTTTATTCAGCTAATATAGGACCAAACTCAGGTGAAAATCATTAAAACCACAAAGAGTAAAACCCAGATATCCACACACCACCCGAGACAAGTCCAGAAAGCCTCATATAACAACAGACCCAAGTAATGATGTAAGGGTATCTGGTCAGGTGGCCATACTGTCACTATGGACTCCCACTTCAATTCCTTCATCCATCCACTGAAAACACACCATTTCCCCACATATACTCTATAATAAAAGAACCTAAATCTGGGCTAGAAAGTATTTCCGTACAAATTTAATATATTATCCTACAATCCAATAAAAGGTCATGAAAATAACATTTAGTACTTTTATATACACTTAAATCAAGAGTGAAAGTTGAATGACTGTCGTCATCATTATTATTTAATTCAAATTCAAAAACTTTTGACTGGCATTTCCTCAATGTCCAAAAATAAAAAAAACAAAACATTTTTTGTGATCACTTGAGAACAGTAACTGACCTTTACATTGTATTATTATTTCATGATGAATGGACCAATACAAATGCTCCATATTAGCTTGTAAAAATACCTTTAATTAACATTAAAAGGGTTTTGCCTTCTCCTGTAAATCTGCTATTTTAGAGGTGACCGATTTTTTGAAAGTGATTATATATTAGCAGGGTCATCCCTATGTTCCAAGGGCCCTTTATTTTCTTAGCCAGCTAAACACTGCACAACTAGAAACAACAAAACTATAAGGGCAATGCACAGCACTACATGCAAATCAAACAGAGCAATTATTCAAAAAGTTTATGTATTGTAAACTTTGACTTTGCTTAGCTAGCTAATTAGCTAACTGATGCAAGCCTAGCTGAGGGAACGTGTGCTCCTACTGAAAAGCTGCTCCTTGCTGTTCCCTGTATGAACTCTGATGACCACTGACATTGACCATGAGCTTAGGAACCCTTTCATAGCCTCCCCAAATGTTTCATGTTGAGGTATGATGTTTCAGATAAAGAGGCCTGGGAACACAGAACCCCGGAAACATTGGTGTGCTCCCATATTAACTAGCTAGCTAGGTAGCTAGCATTACATTAGCTTTATCAGTGACTGCAGAGCAGGACGCCAGAAAAAAGAATGACAGCATCAAACATCGCAACACATAAAGGCTCAAGCTGGTTATATGACTTAAGCCTTCGCTCCATGGTCCATGTCAAATCAAAATCAAACCTAAAATATAGGCATTGATGTATTTCTCCCTATTTGTTGGAGAGTATTCAGTAAATCAGTCTCCTTAAAGGTGAGTATACACCATATACCACTGTATACACACTTTAAACAAAGAAACCAACACCCAAATCAACCACCACTAATGACATAACCTTGTGACTGAAAATCCCAGTCTTTGGGTTTACTGAGAAGCAGAACATAAACCAATAGCGAGTCTTTTAATAATCTGTTAGGGCAGCCTTCGAGGGATGCCATGGACATGTGGGCAAGCTGAACCGGAGAGAGAAGCCACCGAGTGTGATTGGCGTGGTGTGAGTCACCGGCGGAGAATTCCGGAAGGCTCTAATTAGAACGCTGGCATTTTAAAATAGCTTTTTGGCTCGCCTTTATTTTCGTTGCCCACGATGAAGCCCCTGTCATGCTCAGAGAGAAAGAGGGAGGAAATAAAATTAGAAAAGTGGCAGAGATATTTTCTCTCCACGTCCTTTGGTACCCTAATGTTCCATTATGTGGTGAGTGTGTATGTATCTGTATGTGCACTTCTGAGAGAACAAGCTTCTAAAACCTGGGAGTCCATCAAAAGATCAAAACCTGCTCAACTCTCTCTCTTGCCTCATTTTTCTGAAGATACTTACTGTTTCTCCATGTCCTAAACTCACAACCCATCACTTCATTCCCTTTCTCTTACATACAGTACCTGTGTAATGGAGTTATTAATATGTAATAAAGTTGTAATAAAAATGTAATAAAGTTATTACAGAGGAGATTTGCAATCCTACTCCAGTATAAATCTACAGTGTCTGTAGTTTTTATCAGTCTGACAGGAATAATCACAGAGTGAATTAACTTCTGCAATTCACAAAATGTTTATCCCATTTTCTTGTTTTCAGATTATACAGCCATAGAATTAAATACATGCTAGTCTCTAAACTATAAAACTTTAAAACTACAGTAACAACATTTTTAGTATGTGCAAAATGACACTGATTTATTTATTTATTTATTTTTTAAATGATCAATTTAGTGTGTTTTATGTTGGTTTAAGATTTCACTGATCTACCTGATTATTTGGCTACAAACTACGTAAATATTCTGCAGTGAAACTGCTTCATTTTTGACAGGTACGCAGTGCTATACACTTTGAAATTTAGCCTTTTTTAAACAAAGATACTGAAATAACTATTCAGTGTTGTGAATACACTATGATTCTCTAAAGCATCTTGGATTCTTTGGATTGGATCATAGTTATATTTGAAACTAAAGGCTTAACTTATGTTATCTTATATACTTTACTGATCCTACAACCTTCTGGGTGCTGGTTTACCACTTCTACCACTAGACCACCAGCCACCCCAGCTGAAAACTGTGCAACCTGCATGACACTGCTAATGTTACTGTACCACATGGGTTACTGTACAAGCTCCTAATTGTATTAAAAATAGGATTGTTTATCTACATATTAAATATACCTCTATATATATCTATAGGGCTAAGAAAAATATGTAAGTTTCTTAAACAGTAAACATTTTCTTTATCAACAATCCATTTCCACGCCTTTCTCCTCTTCATGCTCCTACATTAGAATACTTTCACTCTCCATCCTTCTCTTTCCTGCTATCTCTCTGCATTCTCTTCCTGTTCATGTTGCCATTATTACTGCTTTTCACCTGCCTAAATCTCTCTCTCTCTCATTAATAAGCCACTGTCCACTGTCTAGTTTCCACTGTCTCTTTCGTAGGTTTTGGTTCGGTAGTGCGACATACTATCTGAGAAATGTCTATAAGCATTTTTTGTACAGCTTCAGCATCTCGATGGCTCAAATGAGTATATAATATTATGTTACCTATGTATTTTTAAAAAATATGTGAACGTGGACATAGCTTTGTGCATGTTTAGCAGTCTGAAGTTTCTCCAGCAGGGGGAGCTATCAGCATGCAAGTCACATTTGTGTGCATCATTGAAAGAGAAGAAAAGCCATGAACCAGCACCTGCAGGAGTTC